GGGAAGGCGAGTGGCTGGATCCTCGGGGTCCGACGGGAGCTGATCCCTTGGCTCGGCGGGATCCTCTCCAGGTTCCTTCTCCCGGCCCCGCCCCCACGGAGCTGCTCTGACCGAGAATGATGTCGGGCCTGACTGGCCCCGAACAAGGGGGGGTCCGCGGTCACAGGCCCCAAGCCCAGTAGGCCCCCTGCCTTGCTTGCCCAGCCCCAGCCCCACCCTCCTGGGGGCTGCCGTGGGGCTCCGTCCCTGGCTCCGTGCTTTAGGGGGCTGCCAGGAGACTCTGGCCTCTGCCCCGTTTGCCACAGGGCTCCAGCCCAGGTCCCGCGCTCCAGGGGCTGTTGTGGGGCTCTGGCCCCAACTCTGCACTGCCCGCAGCCCCACCTGGCCCTTCTGTCTTAGGCTCCCGGGCTCTGTGGTCCAGGAGCATCCACGGTCCTCCTCGACCACAGGAGATGCCGGGCCAGAGAGCGCTGGCTGCCGGCGGTGCAGCCTGGAGGGCCAGCGAAGGCTTGATGCAGACGGCCGCCTCTTTTCTCCCTCCTCTAAAGTGGCACCTGGGCAGGCGCCCGTTCTCCAGCCCACCCCCTCCCCTTCCTCACGGGAGTGGCAGCAGGAAGGGACGGGGAGGGGGCGAAGGGCAGCTCTGCCCGTTATCCCTGTCAGCAGGGGGCGCTCAAGCCACCCACTGGGTACCACTGGGAGGAAACGTTTCCACAGGCCATGTGCTGTGGGCACCGGGAGCCGACGGGCACACACAGCCCATCTCCAGGAACAGCTGCTCCGGCTCAGGTCAGTAACCAGCTTTTCTGCAAAAACGTGTCCTCCACGGGGAGGGCTTTCCACATGGGGAACGTCATCCAACTTGGCAGCCACGCTCACCATTGGGTAAACTGAGGCATGGGCTGCCATGGTCAGGCAATGGCCTTGCCAGCAGCCCCGTAGCTGACTAGCTCTAGGGGGAGGGTTGGTAGGAATCTGGCAGCAGCCTGGTTTGCCACCATCCTCATTGGCCATGGACTGGGGTCAGACACAGTTCTCCGTGACAGGTTGTGGTGGCCCATTGGCAGATTGACCAGGGGGGCCCCTCTGCTCTGAGCCAATTCGCCTGCCTGGCGCTCCTGTCAGGGAGCAGGGTCAGGCGGTGGGGGCTTGCCCCAGCCCTACTCTCCAGCATGAGTGGGAGGGGTCAAGGCAAGCCCCCGGCAGGAGCGCCCAGGGCATGGGGAGCTGCCGGTGTAAGGGGGATGGGCCCCTCCGGCTGTGGCCCAGGGCTGCACGAAGTGGGGTGTCACCACAGGCTGTGGGAGGTGCCTAATGCAGCAGCCGGGGCCCCTGGAGTCTTGGTGCCTGTGTGGCCCGGCCAGGCTGGAAGGGCAGACAGCCGCCGAGGGAAGGCCATGGCACAGGGCCAGCTGCTTCCAGACTGGACAGAGCAGGCACAGCGAGAGCCGCGTGGCCTGGAGCGGTGTCTGCGGCTCTCCAGCACCGGGGCAATCTCTGCTCTCCCTAGGCCCACCAGCCAACCGGGCAAGGCCCTTTCCTGCCCCTCCATCTTCTGAGCTGCCCCAAGTGGCGTGAACGCAGCTGGGCGGGGGCAGGGCGAGTGAGGCCCAGAGGCAAGAGAGGAGCAGTTGGGTGGCCGGAGCAAGGTGGCACGAGAGAGGGCAGATCAGGCCTGCCTGGCAGTGGCACTGATGCTCTTGGCAGCCCTGGGTTGCGACGGGATCTACAGCTGCACCCGGAGTTCCAGCCATAGGCCCAGCTGGTCGCAGTCTCTGCCCTGCGCAAGTCGGGCTTGGGGCTGAACTCCCTCTCCCTGGCATGGCGCTGGGGAAGCTGCCAGTCCTGGGGGAGCCCTTTGGGTGCGGGGGGCTCAGCCCCTTGCTCAGGCAGTTCCCCCACGTGGCTCTCTTGGGAGCGATGGGAGACGGTCCAGGGAGGGTGCGGAGCGATGGAGGAACGAAGCTCCGCTTGGCTCCGCCGAAGAATGTGGCAGAGGACGAATTATCCGAGGCCAGCGCATGTGGAGGGCAGGGACCCGCAGAGACTCCCGGGGCCCCAGCCTCTCGGAAGTGCCTAGAGGTTTGATTAGTGTCTCATTGAAGATTTAATCATTTGACCCATTAAAATGAGCGCCAGATGGGACCTGGCACGTTGCCAGCACACGCTGGGCTCCAGACCGCAAGACCCAGCTTGCTTTGGCTGCTTTCCCGCCCAGAACCAAGTCTAAATATGAAACTCTATTTTTGTCCATGTATGTGAAAGTGTTTCCTTTTCCCGTTTTAATGGCCCCATGTCTGCCGGCAAGGAATTCCTCCAGGGCCCTCTCAGCGGCACAGTCCGAGGCTTGGTTTGACTTTTCCCTCACTTTGCGCTGCAGACGTAGTTGTGGTGCCTGGGTTGCCTCTTGTGTAGTTATAGGCTCCAACTTAGTACGTGACTCCGGAGCCTTTTCCAGCGGCAGTGGGGCTCCCGGCATGCACAGGGAGAGGTGGGAGTCGGTCGCTCTGACCGAGAATGCACAGTACTCAAAACCAGAGAGAGAAAACCGGCTGCTTCTCAGGGTATGTCCACACGCCGACAAAACTCAAGGAACGTCCACACTGTAATTGCGGTCTTCTGCAAGAAAATCGAAAGAACGGAGGGGTGGGGGTGGTTTCCAGCATTGGTAATCCTCACTCTACCAGGAAGGAGCATTTTTGCGAAAGAGTTCTTCCACAGATAGGCGTGTGTGGATGGGGAAGGGGGAATTCCTTCAGAAGAAGAGGGAAGAGGACAAAGCACAGGTGCCCTGGTGGTCCCCTCGCCCATAGCAGTCACAGCGCCCATGCGAGAGCCTCCATTCAGTCTGGACGCTCTCTGCCGAAAAGCAGATCGCTTTTTCCATGCGCTTTGGCAGCGTGGACGCGCTCTGTCAGAAAATGTCTTTTTGGAAGATCTTTTCCGAAAAAAGCTTCTTCCGAAAGACGCCTGCAGTCTAGACATAGCCTCAGAGACACAGCTCCGCGCCTTGTGCGAGCCTGCCTCTGCAGGCTGCCTGTGGCCAGACACTGCCCTGCAGAGCCCTTTCCCTGCAGGCTGCCTGTGGCCAGACACTGCCCTGCAGAGCCCTTTCCCTGCAGGCTGCCTGTGGCCAGACACTGCCCTGCAGAGCCCTTTCCCTGCAGGCTGCCTGTGGCCAGACACTGCCCTGCAGAGCCCTTTGCCTGCAGGCTGGCCCCCGACGCCGCAGACCTGGGTGCACGCATCAGGCACAGTTAGGGCCATCGGGAAAGCAGGCGAAAGGAGCCGCATTTATGAGGTGTTCTGCATCATCCGAGATCCAGTTCTCAAATACATGAAATGTTGTTGCATCCGCCACAGCCTTGGCGGCCCCCACGTGTCCCAGGTGGTCAGGCGTGGCTTTGGGACACCCTGCCTCGGTTTCCCCTCTTTGGTTCACAGTAAACTCAAACAGTGGGTTTCACAAGTCCCATCGCAGCCATTACCAGAACGCTCCCAAGCAGACGCAAATCGTTCCCCAGCCGCTCGCGGGGCTGCATCGTGGCCCAGGGGTCTCGGATCTGGCCCTGCAAGGTTTGCGGGAGCAGCCACATTCCCGCGCTTGTGAAACCCAACCCGGGGTGAGGCTCCACCCGTCCATCCCGTGGGGGGCCCTGGAGGCTGCTCTGTCTCCAGCTGCCCCTGAGGCTGCTGCTCCGGCCCGAGCCCCCGCCACCTCCAGATCCAGAGTGGCCTCTGGGGCTGTCGCTGCCCCGGGATTGCTTCCTTGCTGCTCCCTGGCCTCAGGGCCACCCTGGCCAGCTACTGCAGGGGGAGGGTGTGTGTGAGGGGGGGGGGTCGGCTGCATTGGCTGCTGTGCCCTGGGCTCCGTCAGAGGTTTAATGCGGGAGTTTTCCCTCTGGCTCGAGAGGTCTTTGCAGGAAGGGCTGGAACATTTGCATGGAGCGTGGCTCCCCGCTGGAGCGAAAGGCCCTTCGTGCTTTAGAAGGGAGTTTCTTGCTGGAGCCCGGTTGTGCTAAGATCCCCGCCCAGGGCTCGGGGGAGCAGCAGCCCCCCCACTTGGCTGGGCGCAGGGGAATGGCCCTGCTGTTGCTGTAGCGTCGACGTGGTGAAGAGCCACTAAATGGCCTTGGGCCCTTGGGCAGTTACCCAGGAGCATGAACCCTGCGGCCGGCTCTCCTTGTGCGCTGCTGGCCAGGAGGCTCTGGGCACAGCACCTGGCATGGGAGGCTCTGTCATTTCTCGGCTTCCGGGGAGTCTGGAGCCGATTTCCTGTGCGAACCGGGAGCTCGCTCCTGAGCAGCGATTCTCGACACCCCGCGTGCTGGGGCTGCAAACACCTGTCACTAGCCAAGGGGACAGGCCGCGGGGGAGCTCGGCTGCTCTGGGGAAGCCGAGGCAGCAGGCAGGGACTTGGAAGCGCAAACCCTCCTGGAAAGTGCTCAAGGGAAATGCAGTGTCCAGAGCATCCGTCCCCTCCCCCTGCAGAGCCCCGGGGCCGTGCAGGGCAGGAGAGGCAGGGAACCTGGCCAGCCCCGAGCGCCTGGGGCGTGTGCTCAGTCCCCAGTAATACTCTGGGGGGGCGTCGGCCGAAGGGTGGAGTAGGAAGCAGCCAGCCCGAGGTGCTTCCCAGCCCCCGGCGGCCCTGCTGCTGCCAGTCCTTCGGTGCCGTCCCCCTCTGGCGGCAAGTCCAAGGGCCCGGCCAGGAGTCCCAGGCGAATCGCTGGGCCCCGGGGCTCTGCCTCTGTTGCCCTCCCCTCCCCGGCAGGCCTTTGGCAGAGAGCAGACCTCGCAGCCGCGCTGAGCTAGGCCGCTCCAGGGGGGAGGCGTTAGAAATGGCGGCCGAGGCCCCGGTCCAGTCGGAGCCCTCGGGCCTGTGACGGGGTCAGGGCCGAGCTGTGGGTGGTGCTGCCTGGAGCCCGGGAGAGCAGGCCCTGTTTGCGGGGGCACCAGGCCTGGGTCTCCTTCTAACCTCCCGGCCTTTGGCTCCTCCTCAGACTATCGCACCGGCCCCTGCTTCAGCCAAGTCAACAACCAGATGTGCCAGGGCCAGCTCAGCGGCATCGTCTGCACCAAGACCATGTGCTGCGCCACCATTGGCCGGGAATGGGGCCCTGCCGCCGGGGCTTCATCCCCAACGTGCGCACCGGGGCCTGCCAAGGTGAGTGCCGGGAACGGCGCAGACGGGCTCCCGCCAGGCCCGGGCTGGAAACGCCTCCTGGAAAGGAGCCGGGGGCAGGGCCGGGGCCCCGGATGCTGCTCTAAGAACATCTAAGCAGCCAGGCTGGGTCAGACCACGGCCCATCCAGCCCAGCGTCCTGTCGGCCGGCACTGGCCCTGCCGGGCACCCCAGAGGGAGTGAACAGAACTGGGAATTGTCTAGTGATCCCTGTCTAGTGTATCTAGCTCTTTTTTGGACCCTGGTCTTGACCACATCCTCTGGCAAGGAGTTCCACAGGTTGACTGTGCGCTGCTCTGATCCAGAACTAAGCCAAAATCAAAAAGTTGAAATTCTCACAAGCCCACATTTCAACCAGCTCTAAATGGAACCCCCGTGGGGAGCGTGGCCCGTTCCCTGCGCTGGGGGGCAGATGCCTGCACCGGCCCTGTGAACTTGCCAAACTGGGCTACGAGTAGCCCGATGCTGCACGACGGGCTCCTTGGCACTGCTGGTAATGATCACAAGGATCCCCAGGCAGGAGAGGCTTGGAACCACGGTGCAGGGGGGGCAGAGCGTAGCCCCTCGGGAGCCCAGTGCCCCCTTGCAGCCTAGGAGAGGAAGCGAACATGCTCCTGTTCTCCCTGCCCCCTTTGGCTCCTGGCTCCTGGGCCATGCGGCCTCCTTGCTCGCTGCCTGACCCCTTGTCCTCCCTGCAGACGTGGACGAATGCCAGGCCATCCCCGGCCTCTGCCAGGGTGGGAACTGCATCAACACCGTGGGCTCCTACGAGTGCAAGTGTCCCGCGGGGCACAGGCAGAGTGAGACCAGCCACAAGTGTGACGGTAAGGCGAGGCGCCGGGGCCAGGTTGCTCGTGAGGAAGAACTTCCCATGCGCCCGGGTGGGGAAGCACTGGGGGGGGTCTCCCCCGCTGGAGATACTGACGGGCGGTTAGACAGACAGTCGGGGGATCTGGACGGCGCTTGGTCCTGCCGTGGGGCAGGGACGGGACCTGATGCCTCTCAAGGGCCCTTCCAGTGCGAGTGCTTTGGGAAGTCCCAGCGCCTCTCCTGGGAAGCAGCTCTGTGTCTCTCCTCACCAACCCCCTCCGAGCTGCGCTGAGGGGCCGGCAGACGCCTCCTGCTGTCGGTGAACGCCCCCGTCTCGGGGGGCTAGCCGCGCTCCGAAGGGCAGAGAAGCGAGGCTCAGTCACGGAGCTCTGAGGCAGCAGGAGGGAGCCCTCTGAGCAGAGACGCTGAGGCGCCAGGAGAGCAGGAGTCAGCCGGACGCTCACGAGGGCCCTGCCGTGGAGGTGTCACCTCACCCTGCAGGCACGTGGCCGGCGCCCACCCAGGCTGGCTCCGGGCTGCTCCGGGCAGGGTTTGGACTGCACATTTGGAAGGCTGAAGGGCCCGGAGGGTCAGCGGGGAGACCGATCTCACTCCGGCTGTGGCTGCATGCCCTGGAAGGGGCGCGAGGGGCCTGGTGGGGAGGCTGCACAGCCCTACGGAGGAGCCCCTGGGCCCTCCACGGGCAGGCTCTTCCCCTCGCGGCTGGATGAAAAGGGCCATTGGGAGGCTGGGGGCCAATGGCTTGGACCCCGCCCATGCTGTTAGCCACCCTGTCCAGAAGCCATCGCTGTGGTACGAGGCAGGTGGGCCAGGCAGGTGAGTGGCTACTCAGGCCTCTTCCTTCCCAAAGCCGCTGGTTGGCTTCTTGTTTGTCAGGCAAGGCTGGGGCGGCGAGGCCGTGCAGCCTGAGCCCTTCCCCCGCCGGGGTCCTGCCAGGGCAGCGTGAAGGGCGCTCACTCTGCACTGCTCCGGGCGGCTGCTCTCCAGGGCCTACGCTCAGCTGGAGAGGCGCCCGAGCCCTGGGAAGCGTGCCGTGAGAACTGCGCCCCGGGATGGAGCGGGTCCTTGTTCAGAGGAGAGGCCCTGGGGCTGTGGCCGCTGGGGGAGGCCAGGGAAACCCTGAACGCTGCTCTGGGGGCAGACAGGAGGGAAATGACCTCCCAGCAGCCCCCACGGGCCGGTGGCCTCCCCGGTGCGGGGGGAGCTTCTGCAGCGCTGCTCCCATCCGGGCTGTGTTGGAACCGCACGTCACTATGGCAGGGCAGCCAGGCCCTTGGGGCGTGCCCCTGGCAGACCCAGCTCTGTGACACCAGGTAAATGTGGAGTGACCCTCCTGAGCACTGCGGGGCCCACGGGGCAGGCTGAACCGAGGGGAGGATGCCTCGCCCGTCGGCAGCAAAGCGAGGTGGTTCCCCCCGCCGGCTGCAGGGAGGTGCCTCCCCTGTCTCCGCTTGCAGCTGGCAAAGCCTCGTCCACCATCGCCGCAGCCCCGCTCTCCAGGGGCAGCAGGCGTAACTCGCAGCCGCGGGCCCGGCGAGCAGTCTCCGTCCCCTGTAGAGCTGCCTCCCTCAGCTCCTGGGAAGGGTCTTTCCAGCAGCTCCAGCTGTGCAGAGGAAGGGCGGGGGAGAGTCACAAGTTCTGTGCTCCGGGTGCAGCTGGGGTCGGTCCGGGGGGGAGGGGTACCCCTTTCGTGGGGTTCCCATCGGTTACAAGGGAGGTGCTTTGTGGACAGACCGGAACCACGATTTCGAATGGCCCGAGTGGCTCTAGGACCGGAGGGTCCATTTCCCTTCGCAGCGAGGGGTGTGACGAAGCCACGTCCGTCAGGGAGGAAAGGGGGATGTTGCCCCCTTCTGAAAGCCCCCCCCTCCAGCTGCTGTCTGCGGCGTGAGCCGCTGCTAACAGCCAGCCTGGGGCGCAAGGCCCAGTTCTGGGGGTGCAAGGAGCGAGCCCCGTGGGCAGCAGTTGGGCGCGGTTCTTGTGGTGCGGCAGAGCTATTCACCGTCGCCTGGCTGCTTCTCCTCGCATGCGTGCCGGAGCCCCGGGCACACACCACTGGGAGGGGGGCTCTCCCCCAGGCTCCCCGAAATGCCAGAGGGCTGGCTGGGGAGCTCTGCGAACATCAGGCCGGCGCAAAGGGCACCGGGCGAAAGCTGCCCTGCCCGTGGCTATTGAACCTCCCTCCCTCAGACCCTGCTGGCCTCAGACCTGCGTCCTGGGCCATTTTGGCGAGCAAATGGGCTGGTTCCGCCCCGCGCCAGGAGCCCGGGTCAGAGCGGAGGAATGTGCTGGAAGCCAGAGGGCTGTCGGCAATCACAGACCCCCAGGCGGCTGGCCATTAATAGCAAGGTAAGGGAGGGGCCGGGCATGCTGACGTCCCGCCGCAGCAGGCCAGCAGGGTGAGTGGCTGGGGCCATGGCTGGGGCTCCAGGGCACCCAGAACCCGGTGAGTCGCCACAGGCCTGTTGTGCAAGGGGGGAGCGCGGCCCCCACACCGGCCCTGACTCCCCCGCCGGGGCTTTGTCAGGCTGGGTATGTCTGCACTACAGCTCTAATTCGAACTGACGCATCCAGACTAAACAACTAGTTCGAATTAGCATTTTGCTAATTCGAACTAGCATATCCACACAGAGTGGACCCTGACGCGGGGCTAAGGATGGCCGGAAGCAGTGCCGGCAGGGCATCAGAGGAGGACTTAGAGCGTGGAGCTGCTGTCTCAGGCTAGCTGAGGGCTGTGCTTAAAGGGTCCCGACCCCCACCCCGGACAGACAGTTCTCAGGGTTCCCCGCTTGCAAAGCAGTCCTGGCTTGGAGTGCCCTGAGTGCCCACACGCGGAACATCACAGCACTCGGCCATCAGACCAGCTGCACTTGCCGCAGGCTGCCATCCGGGGGGAGGGGGCAATCGGGGGGCTGCAGGAGAGCTTCCACCCCAAGAAGCCCGCAGAGCCAGCCCAGTCCTCCCCATCGGGGGCGCGTACCCCATTCCTCCCTCACCTCCTTCCACTTACCCTTCCCTAGCCCCCCTTCTTATTGATGTACAAAATAAAGAAAACATGTGTTTAAAAATAGAATCTTTCTTTAATGAACAAAACTGGGGGATACTGGCAAAAGGAGGTGGGAGAGGGGAA